CTAGACTGAAGAACAAAACGACAGCAACTTGTCTGTTCCCCTTCCCCCAATTCCCCAGCACTGTTCCCATCCCCCCAATTCCCCAATAAAAATCTTCAAAAAAAAAAAAAGGCAGATAACAACAAGTGTTGGCGAGGATCAGAACCCTCACACAGGTGAGAGCTCTCCAGGCAAAGGACCGGCCAGTGCAAAGGCCTCGGAGGGAGAGGAGCTTGGCATGCTGCAGCACACGTGCCACACATACCTCCCCATGCACACGACACACGACACACAAGAGGACGCGCAGGTGAGGGTGGCGTAAGAAGAGCCAGGTGGTGGAGGCGGAGCCTGCTCTTCCAGGGCTTTACAGGCCGTGGCGAAAACTTGGCTTTGATTCTGCCTGTAGGGAGATGCCCCTGGAGGTTTTTAAGCTGAGAATGCAAGGTCTGGTTTGCATAAAAACCTCTCTGGCTGCTGTGCGGAGTTGGAGTGGAGTGAGGAAAAGTGGAAGCAGGTGGCCTTGTTGGGAGTCTGTCACGATGGGCCAGACCAGGACAACGGTGTGTGACGTTAGGGACGCAGCGGGGGGATGGAGAGAAGTGCTCGAAGCCCGGTCACAGCCACAGCCACGAGGGGGGTCGTGGGAGATGAGGGACCGAGGGCACTTGAGGGTGACTTCTAGGTTTGGGGTGTGCGCAGCTGGGTGGGCTGAGGCGAGGATGCTGGAATGAAGACGCGGCCTGGCAGCAAGGCGGGGCGGGGCGGGCAGGGAACGGAACCCAAATGCTGGTCTTCCCGTGTTAGGTTTAAGGCGCCTGTTGGATTTCCAGGCAGAAACAGTGACTCAGTTATTGGGGTGAAGCTAGAGCTTGGGGCAGACCTCGGGGCTGGAGACATTGGGGGTCGTGGGAGATGGGCAGTTTAGAGCCGCAGGCCTGCACGCATTGCTAAGGAGGGGGCTGGGGGAGCAGGGGAAAGGCACCCCACTTCCTGGTGAGGCCTCGTTTGCCTGGGTCCTTTGACAGTTTGTCTCTATCCCAGACCTCGAGGTTGGTGGACAAATCTCGTCCCCCTCACCCAGCTACTCTCCCCTGCCCTATCCTCTGTGCCCCTCAGAAGACAGGTTCTTCTGTCCATGGGCATTTTGCCAAGTTTATCTAGAGTTAGCAGAAGGATTTTTAAAATCTAGGGCAGAAGGATTCTTAAAATCTGGGCTGCAAGGCACCCCTTTTCTTTTCAGTTTTTTGCATTTCCCTTTGGAAACATGATATGTAAGGCAGACAAAAAATACTTTGCTATAGGACTGGGTTGGTATAGTTCTGGGCAGACGATGGTTTCTTGCCTGTTTTACTCCTGTGGGTTTTTTTTAAAGGCACCAGTTTGGTTAGTTCATTTAGTGAACAGGATTAAGCGCCTCTGTGGTCACAGCTGTCCTCTGCCCATGTCTGGTGTTTAGGCCTTTTCTTGTGTCTTCTTATCTGTTTGTGTCCCGACACTGGTTCCCCGAGCATTAAAATGGTCAATACTTGGCTATTTGTGAATACTCCTTACACTTCTTCTCGAATGAGCCATTCGAGAAGCCCTCAGGGAGCTCACAGGTGACTGAAGATAAGATTCTAGCCACTGAGAACGGAAATAGTGCCTCAGAGAGGGCTCAGGTGGGAAGCACAGACTTCACTCAGAGGGTCGGGGGCCTTCAGCAGGAGGTGACCCCGAGAAATGAGTCTGGCCCTGAGAAAACTAGCTTAGAATGTTCTGGGCAGAGGGAACAGGTGAGCAGTGCTCAGAGGCCAGAAAGCACGGAGAGAGGCATGGAACGCAGTCAGCGAAGAAAGCACTTGGGGGGTCAGTGAAGCACAAATGCGGAAGCGGGAATTAAGGTTGGAAAAGGGGATGAGGCCAGACCATCCAGAGCGCCCGGGACGCTGGCCGAGCTGTCTGGACTGGAGCCTGCCGGCCTCGGACGGGCTGGAGGTCCGGGCAAAGCACAGCACTGGCCGGGGGGCGCCGTGCCTCAGGCTGGTTCTCACGGCTGCAGGCCTGGTCCAGACGGCTGCGAAGGAGCCCGTGGGGCAGGAGTGTCCTTCACACACTTGCGGCTCTCGCCAGAGCTGACTTCTGCTTGGTTCTCACGCACACGATGTGTCTTATCCTTAAACAGACGTCAGAGCTTGACATGGAAACCAGGACGAGGTCCCGCAGGAGACGGGCCGTGGGCGCAGGGGTGGGAGGAGCAGAGGCTTCCCCAGAGTCCTGTCGGGGAACAGCGCACCCCTATCTAAGGGTGCATTAGCCTGGCTCTGGAAGTGTGTCTTTAATATATAAACTACACTTTACTTTTATTTACATGTGTATTGATTATATAAAAATAACAGGTGCCTTATAAATATGAAAACAGTTCTGGCGTAAACAGCCGTATAGCCATCTTTTCAAACCTTGGACGTGGCCGTGGGGGTTTTGGGACGATGTATCCCAGATAACCACGCCCTGTCCTCACGGTCAGCCTGATCTCCTTCCTCTCCTGGGTGTTATCAGTGTGTCCTTTTCCTTATCAGCCTCGGAACAAAAACTCTGGGCTTTTGCCCATCTCAAGGGGCTGAGCTCGGCTATGGGAAATTTACTGAGATGGAGGAAGGACAGACAAAGCAGGTTTGCCTTTGGGTACTTGGCCACCCCCGCAACCCCCCCAGCAAGCCCAGAGGCACCGCTGAGACTCCGACACAAAGTCACCTTTAGGAGCTGAGACCCCATTGCCGTCTCCACCCCCCTGTAACCCGTCCTGGGCGGCACGGCCCTCTCTAGGAGCCTGTGCTATGGGTCTGCTGCTGGGAGAGCCGTCACGTGGTTATGTGACCATGGCCAAAAAAATGTTTGCACACCACCAGCCAGGTTCCTCTCCTGGAGCCCCCCACATGGGCATGGCATGGACTGGCCCACGGTACCGTCATGACAGTGAAAAACCAAACTGACCGAAGGCTTATCGGTAGTTATGGTTATGTAAAGAATAGTGTATCCTGACACTGGAATATTATGCAGCAATTAAAAGGAATGAGGTCGCTCTGAGATAGTTAAGCCATAAAAGCAAGTTTTAGAACAGTGTTACCACTGAGATCTTTGAGCAAAGCAAACCACACACAGAGAACTATGTATCCTATCTGAGGGGAGGGGAGCGGAGACTTGTGTATCTGTTTGTGAAGGTGCTTAGATGAAGTCAGCCAGGCTACAGCACAACGGTGGTTACTTCCGGGAGAGGAATGGGATTAGGGAGCGGTAGTTCCTGTATGGTTTACATACAGATAATTTCTTTTTTACAATGAAAATACCCATATATTTTGCAGGCTTCACAAAGTAGGGGGGGGGCTGTGGGTGTGTGCTCTGAAGTAAAAGACACACGAAGGCAGCTCCTGAAGTGTGTCCATTGGTTTGCAGCCCCTGCTGAAATCACTACAGTACTGAAGGTGTGCATAGGTCCCCTCACCCCACGCTCGCACACGCGTGTGCACACACAAACATGCACACACACGCACAACACGGGTCTTCACGTTGTAGAACCGTGCTGCTGTCCCTTAGCATTGGCTGACATGAGATAATGGAATGCAGACAAAGCTGTGCGAGCCTTGTGTTTCTCACATGCCTGCACCCTCAGCCAGCCTGTCCTAAAATGAGCATTTTGCCTTCTATTGACTGACTGATTAATTTTTTTATCAGAAAAGATTCCGGCCGAAGCACCCCCGGAAGTGGGAACCTGGGCGGATGGCAGAGTTGAAGATGAACTGTCCCCAGAAGAGATACAGATGGTAAGGGTGTTGTCCGCCTACTCGTTTATTCGTAAGAATGTTTCTCGGAGTCTGGGGTCGTCCTAAAGGAGTGCCCTGGCCCTGATTTTCATACTGAGGTTTTTCAATTATAGATAAATGTTTCAGATACGATTTTCCCACTAGATTTCCTAATTCTTGGTGTGCTTTTCATATATTTTAAATTTGCAGCAGCATAATTAAAGAAGAAATTGCCTGGGAATAATTTTACTAATATTAGATATCTTTTTAGCAGCAGTAAAATGTCTTCTAGTCTAAATGGTTTTATAATTGCTGTGCTGGTGCTTTTTGCTTGAATTGCTGGTGTTGTGGTGATTTGAAGAGTGCATACATAATGACTGAAACATGCAGAGTAACACCTGAGCTGCTCCTCACTCCTGTTAGCTACCTGTTCTCTAGTTGCCAGTTGTCGTGGTCCATTATCTCCAGGTGAGTTTCAGAAGGAACCTGACAGGTTTGGCAGGAGCCCCTGCCAGCGCGTTGAGGGCAGAGTCTGTGCAGCTTGTCTGGACATGGGCCTGTCCCAGCTGGTTGGAGCGCGTCCACCTGACTGGGGACAGACATTTCCTAGAGCTGCCCTTGCTTACGCTGCCCTTCACCTGCAGAGCTGAGCAACTGGCTCCCCCACAGCAGCCTTCTGGGGATGGACCCAACCAATGACACTGTACATTTACAGCAGTTCACAGGGGATGGAACTTTTTTGTGCTCATCTTCTCCACAACATCACTAGTCACACGAGGGGGTGCTGGGGTGTTGCCGGCTCCTGACGTTGCAGACAGCAGTGCAGTGCCGTGCCCAGGCTCATGCCTGAGGTCCCGCAGTGAGGAAGAGGCAGGACTCGCTGCTACTGAGCGAGCAGGTTTCCAGCCCAGCCTCCTGATCAAGGTCAGGGGCAGACAGCCCCGAGCCGAAGCTTGGCCACGGAGGGACCCACCCAGTCTGCTCCCAGCCGGGAGCCTCGCAGACCCGAGGGCTCCTTCGCTGCCTTCATGCCTTGGAGGAATCACGTGTTAGTCCTCAGACAGGCCCTGCCTGGCGCCCACCCTGAAGTGGCCCCAGCCTCTGCCCCGGGCCCCCTCCTTCCCGCATCCCTCCACAAAGACACAAGCGCCAGGAGCGTGGAGTGTCTGCTCCCACCGCCCTGTTCCCAGAGCCTAGAACTGCGTCAGGTACTATTTGTTGAATGGATGAGTGACTTTGAGGAGTATAATTTAAAAGCTGTAGGTTGTTTTAAATGGGAAGGCAGGATCATCAGTGGGAACTACTGGAATATTCTATCTAGTTTTAAGTTGCTACTATTATGATTATTTGTACTTGTGAATGCCTTCTTTATGCCAAGCCTTTTATATGTCATCTTGTGTAAACTTCATAACAATCCGATGAAGTAGCAATTACCTCTCTTAGGCAGTTGAAGAAAACAAGGCACAAAACCGCCAAAGCTCCCCCAGGGTCCCCAAGGTCACACAGCCAGCGGTAGCACAGCTGAGCCACCTCTGTCCGAGGCCTGGCTCCAACCCTGCACTTTGTCACCGTGTCACAGTTCACGTGAGTCCCTGGTGGCACCTGGTGGTCAGGGTCAGTGCAGCCTGCCCAGGAGCTGCGTGACAAACTGGTGTGGGCAGCCTGGCAGAGGAGTCAGCCAGCCACTCGAGACCCACAGAGTGGTGGTGCCCGCAGGTCTGCAAGCTGGGTCCCACAGGGGTGGCCATGGCTGCCAAGGGTGGGGGACTGGCTTGGCTCCTCTTCCTCTCCACACTTCCTGTTTCTCCTCCAAGCCGCCTCGCAGTGGGACTAACCACTGAGGAAGCTGACCCACGAGGTGAGCGCATCGGGCACCAGCACACAGTGGGCGCTCATAATTGCGTCCCCTCGGCCTTTCTTCTTCCAAGTGACAAAGAGTAGCGAAGAGTGGCAAAGGCCAGCCATCCCCTGCACAGGGTAAAGGGACTGGGCGGTGCCCGGGCTCTTGGGTCACAGCTGCACATGCGCGGGGAAGGGCTGTGGTGCCTGCTGCCTTCGCGGCAGGATCAAAGGTCATGCGGGGTGGCAGCTCAGTTGAGTTTTATGTTTTATACAGTTCAGTTTCACAAATGTTTATCCGCCCAGATGAGTGGTTTCCCCTTTAAATTCTGCACCTTAGAAGCTGGAAACTGATTCCAAACTATTATCCATGACTTTCCTAGGACTTGCTTTGTGGGGGGCGGGCTCCCTCAGAGCCTGTGGTACCTTCTTTGGAATAATGAGTGGAGCTCGCTTCATTCTTTGTAGACAAGAACAATCCTGAGCTCAGGAAGTACCTCAGACACCTTAGGGTGGCCTGCCAGGCCCACCCTCCTGCAGGCCCCTCCCCTGTTCCGGAAAGCACATCTGACTTGGAGCCTGTGCTCAGCGTGCGGCAGCCCCCGCAGGCGGTGCCCAGAGCCTCGCGGTGCAGAGGGCAGCTAGAGCAGACTGCAGCGTGGGCTCCAGGTAGCTGCCGCTGCCCATCCGTTGGGAGATGGCGAGGCCTTGGCCAGAGAGTGGCAGTGAAGGCAGAGATGGAGCTGTCGGGACAACGGACTGGCCGTGTGCTCATTGGAGGGCAGTAGGCAGTGTGAGAGTGTGTGCGGAGCAAGCGTGGGGCTTTCTAGCTTGGCCAAACAGGATGCTGGTAGTCGGGAGAAGGCAGGGCGCGCACACGGTGGGCAGGCTGGGGCGGGCCACAGGGGAGAATTGCACTGGACAGGTGTGAGTCCCAGGTGGCCGTGGGACATCTGTGGAGGTGTCTGGTGGGCGCTGGGATCCGAGGTTCTGGCTAAAGATGCGAATGTGGGAGACATCTTACTGCTGGCCTTTGAAACAGCATGTGCAGGAGAGAGGAGAGAGGGACCAAAGACATCACCCCAGGGACACGCCACCGGGGGCAGGCCCAGGCGAAGAAGCCAACACGTGAGTGTAGAGAGCAGTTAGATTCTGCATGGCAGAATGATGGCAGAAGTTTCTTAAAATCTCATTGTTTTTCTTCAATTTATACACAGTAATTTCAGTAATGAAAATGGTGAGTCATGTTCCCCCAAAGAATGAAACATGGCCACGTGTGTGTGTGGGAGATGAAAATGCGTCCAGCACACTCTCTACATTAGGAATGAATGCGTGTGGACTTAGGCAGAATTTATCTTCTGTTTGGGACTTGAATGCGCTGCACTGCTCTTCACAAAGGAAATGCTAGAATGATGATGGTTTGCCAGCGGATTTTGCCTTCTCCTCTAGGCGTGGTGAGCCGTAAGGTTTAGTTGACCTCCGCAGACGTGTGGTCTGGAAGCCACTGCAGGGGTGTGTGGAGGGTGGACCAGAGAGGAAGGCGGGCACGACGGTGCCTGTGACGAGCCGATGTGGGTCCCACTGAGAGGTGATAAAGGGACGTGGGCTTTGGGACTAGGCCATCGGTTAGGAGTCCTCTTTGTGTCACTCGCTGTCCGTGTAATTTGGGGCAAGAAAATTAGCCTCACTGAACTTGGTAAGAACCCACAGCCCCCCAGAATTGTTGGGAGCGCAGGAATGTGTGGGCGGGCACCTGACAGCTGCTCCCCCGGAAACTAGCCCGTGCCGTGCCCTGCCGCTGTCACTGCAGGTGCCCGGATGTGGCTTAGCGAATGCCGATGACAAATACGGTCCATCTCCCCAGGCTCTTCGCTCCATAGTGACTGTTAGTTGATGCATCTCACTGCGTCTCACTGTGCTGTCCTAACTGAATCCCGTCTGAACGCACGCCACTGGCCATCCCCGCTGGCCATCCCCAGTAACGCCTGATTTTTCGTCGCAGCATCGCTGACTAAAGTGGTCAGAAGCAGCAAGACCACCCTAATTCTCATTGTGTTACTGCCAGTGGATTGGGCACAAGGCTGCAGTGTTCAATACTTTTATGACAAGCTGTTTAATGTTCAGTTAAATTCTTTCTTAATTGGGAATAATAGCTAAGCACCATCTTATAGTCTGACTAACCCAAACCTTATTTAAAAAGACTTAACTCTGAAAATGAAGAGAAAGAAATGCTACACTGTTGGTATTAAATTGGAAAGTGTTGTAGCAAATTGTGGTCGTAATTCATAATCACTGTTTTGGAAGTTTTCCTCAGGGTAAAATAACAAATTAAGCCCTATAATAGCAATTTAATTCATTATTTCACCCATAGGAGTAGTTGTTCCAGGTTCCCAAATGGCTGCAGAGCACTGTGATTTCCGCGATAAATTTCCGTTTCTAACCCATGATGCAGGTATCGCCGTGCCTCTGCGGAAGCTGAGCCGACGCTCTGTGGTCGGCTGAGCGACCACTGTTTCTGATGTTACGCTGAGAGTAGGCCTCCTTCCTGAGCCCAGCGCAGGCTGCTTGCCTCCAGCAAAACCACCTGCTCTTACTGGCGTGTTCCTTGGAAGGCTTTGTAAGGACCTGAACCTGACTTCTGTTTTTAAATATGCTGAAAGGTGTCTTCAGCCTCTGTCCCTGAGGTGGCCCCGGAAGCGCCTGCGGGCCGGCTGGCAGGGCTGGCGTCTTTGGCCACTGTCAGCTCACGCACTGAGAACACAAAAATTGTTTTGTTGTTGTTGTTTTTAAATTGTTATTTTTTTTAAGTGTTTGTGTTTCTTTTTTTTTCCCCCAAAGATTTTATTGGGGAATTGGGGCCAAGTTGTTGTCCTTCAGCCTTAGTTGTGGAGGGCGCAGCCAGCTCAGCTCAAAGTGCCGTGTTCAGTCTTAGTTGTGGGTGGGCACAGCCCACCATCCCATGCGGGAGGCGAACCGGCAACCTTGTTGCTAAGAGCGCACGCTCTAACCACTGGGCCATCCGGCCGCCCATCGGCTGCTCAGCTCAGGCGCAGCTCACTGGCCCATGTGAGAATCGAACCAGCGTCCCTGTTGCTCAGAGTTTGTGCTCTTAACCAACTGAGCCACTCGGCCGGCCCGAGAATTGTTGATAGAATGTGGAGGCCACAGGCGAGAGCTGGAGTCTAGACCCTGGGGAGGTTCCAGGTTCCAGGGGACACAGGGTCACAGAGCCGAGTGTGAAGGGGTTTGGCACAGAAATAGCACATCTGGAAGAGCCCAGAGCGGGCCTGGCCCCTGGGCTCCTGAGCAAGGGGGCAGCGGGCTTTGTAGGCCAGCCCTGTGGGTTCCCGCCCCAGGGGTTCCCAGTCTTCCGGTTCATTAGCTGCTTTGGGCTCTTTGCAATGCAAATACTTCTCCTGGCCTCCTTTTATACTCAAAGGAGTGTGATTCTCTTTTTAAAACTATGGTAAAGAGGATCAGATTTCTGTAACAAGACACTTGCAAAGTTAATTTGTGTCCTTTACACCAGATTATAAACCCTTTTGTGGGAGGCCCTATTGAAAGTCTGACTGACTTTACATGAATAAAGCAGTTAAATAATATTTCCTAACACACGTGGAACACACACCGTGTGCCAGGTACCGCTCTGAGCACCTGAGTGGCTATTAGTGTATGCCACCCCAGGGGTAGGGACTGTGGCTGGCCCCATCTGCAGAGAGCTCCCAGGTGCTGGACTCCTGAATGTGACGCCTGCCGCTTTGGCTGGGGGCATCCGTCTGCTGTACTTTGATGTGAGGCCTTAACAGAGTGGAATGAGCCATGGAAGGGAGCCCAGAGCAGCAGGCTGGCTGCTGGCATGCTCGTAGGGCCTGCGTGCCCACCTTACCCTCTTCTAGGCCCTCTGCCCCCTTTTCAGCGACTCACATGGGTGGATGACGTGTTTCCTAGTCTGCGGCAGGTCTGCCCTCCCAGGCCGATGCGTACCTCTGTCCGTGGTGCTGACCGTGCAGACCACGCCTCTCATTCAGCGTCGCGCCTTGTGAAGTCCCTGTCTGTGGGGACAGACACCAGCAGCTGCACTGCCAGTGAGCCCCAGAAGATGACGCTGTGCCCGCATTTCTCATGCCTGAGAGATCGGAATACCAGGAGTCACAGCGGCCCTCTGGAGTTTAAAGCCAGAGAGGTGGCAGGGGTCTTCAAAGCATTTAATGACTCATTTGCGTATCTGGAATCTGGCTCCCAGAGTAAATAATAATTAACATTTAGTAAGTGCTTATTGTGTGCTACGCACTTAAACTACTTAACACATATAGCACATGTCTTCCTCCTAACAATGCTATTAATTATTATCCCCATTTTAGGGGTGAAGACAGAGGCACAGAGAGGTTAAGTTACCTGCCGAAAGTCACACAGCTTAGAAGGTGAAGGAGCCATCCCTCCCACCCTCAGGATCAGGCAGGAATGGATAAGAGTCACCACATCTGTTCACAAAGAAACCGACAGGCCACATAGGCCAGTGACGGGTCCAGGGTCACCCGAGGAGCACCCACGAGGCCCCGGCATAGCCACCACCTACCCAGCCACCTGCCATTTATCTGGCTGCTCCATGTCTCAGTGCAGACGAGAGGCGAGGCGTGCAGGTTTGCCCTTGAGACCAGAAACCATCCTGACGCCGGGTGCAGGCGGACGCCCGCCGCCTGGCCGTCACTGCTGCTGCCTTGCACTTGGCTGTGGGAAACGGGCGCAGTTTCACTGTAACCCCGGCCTCGGAGCGGAGGGAGGGCTGCTCTGGGCCGAGCTGCTGGCACGCCTGCACGCCTCCCGCAGTCCTGCCCACTCCTCTCCCTCGAGGCATTTGTTTCCCTCCCTTCCTCCAGGGCAGGTGCTTCTCAGGTGGCATCAGGAACTGCGGGGTGGAAGGAAATCCGATCCCACCTGATGCTGCTCACGGGAGGCTCTTGGAGAAAGTTACCCAGAGGCCTAAGCGGAATCGCAGCGTAGGCCACATGCCCTCCAGTTAGGGAGGACACAAGAAAGCTTCGTTCTCAAAGAACATTCCAGCTGTAAATCATCTCAAACCCCTGGCTAATTTCGTTTGCCACAGTTTCAAGGCATAAAAGGACTGTGGGTTTAAAAGGGCAGGGCCATATTTTATCGTTGGAAAAACTCAAAGAAAATGGCCCCTGCCAAAAAACAAACAAAAACACCTGAGTAGTTACCAGGAGGGTTAACCAAGGTAAATTAGCACCTGCCTGCTGAATTAGTTGTATTTCTCCTTAAATATGGGACCCTGAAGTAACTGTTGACAGTTAGTAGAGCTGATACTTGCAGACTCAGAAGTGAAATCTTATTCTCTTACTAGCCTCTCTGATGCCTGATTGGAAGGGCCATGCAGTGCTGTGTCAGCAGGGCACTGCCCGCCGCTCTGCCCCTTCCAGAAGCTCTGCCGCCCCGCCGTTCTGACCCAGGAGGTCTGGGGCGGGGCAGCCAGGACTGAAGTGTCATGCCCTCCCCCCTCCCTGTGCAGGGCTCAGGGTCCAGAGAAGATGGACCACCCGCCCCAGGAGGGAGGACAGGCCCCGAACAAGTGTGAGTGCGTGATGGGGCCAAGTGCAGCGCAGCTTTTAGAGAGGGGGCGACAGAAAGTGACTACACCTGCCCTCATGGCCGCCTCACTAAGAAGGGGCCATGCTGAGGACAGGGACCAGCCAGGGGATGAGTCCATGCCAGGCCGAGAGCCAGCCTGTGCAGGGTTGAGGCGGAGAGCGCGGGAAATGTCCACGGGGAGGCGGGCAGCGGCCAGAGCATGGCCCACACTGCACCTGAGACCTGAGCTGTAGGGCGAAGCGCAGGGCCAGCAGAGAGCAGTGTGCATGACCTGCATTGCAGATCACTCTGACCAAGGAGTGGAGGACGCACTGAAGGAGAGAGATGGAGGGCAGAACTCAGGTGATAGGGTAGGAATGAACATAGCCAGTGTGCCAGGCAAAACTGGCAGACAGGAAGGGGGGGCGCCAGCACGACATGCCCTGAGGAGAGGGGATGGAGGGGGCCCTGCCCAGAGGAAGTGATGCCTCCCTGAGCCTCCAGCGGGAGCGAGCAAGGCCCAGATGAGCGCTGAGGGTGCAGGGGGCGGCGAGCGGGTCAGCACAGGGCCATGCAGGGGTGAGGTGGGCCAGGTGGTCCTCACGAGTTCCGGAACCACGGCCTTCCTCCATTAGCGCTTTACTCAGCAAGTGACCAGGTTTTGAGTCAGACTGCAAAGCCTCTGGACAGCAAGGACGTGCCTCTCTTTGTCCCCCCACAGTGCCTGGCACAGGAAGTGCCTCAGAAAGTCTCGGTGGGTGTGACTGCGGCTTTAACAGATGTGACAGAAAGAATGTGTGAGGTTCCCAAAGGCTGGGCTCAAGGAGGCGCCCACCCTCCAGCTGACAGGCACGCAGGGTGTGTGCGACACACGCACAGCTTATTACAAGGCAGAGGGGGGTCCCATCCTAAGAGGTTTTCAGAGATGCTAGGTCCAGGCTAGAAAAATGGGAGATAACATCGAGCCCGGGGCCTGGGGTGGTATCATGGAGAAGGTGGCGTTTGAGCTGGGCCTGTGGGACCTGGGAGAGGAGATGGAGGACACCCCTGGCTGTCGGCGTGTTCAGGGAGCTGATTGGGCGCACGAGGGCAGAGTGTGGGCCGTGCTGGCGAGGACAGGTGCTCCCGGCCCCGCGCCGGGGTGGCGCTTCCCCGGCTCCATCCTGCTGCTTGGCCGGCATCACACTGGCAGGAACGGCCAGTCCCGTCCGTGTGACGAGCTCCCTGGGTGTCGCGTGTTGGGTGGCCGTCCTTACCCAGCCTGAGCCCCAGGAGTGCAGCTGCTCTGGCTCCCGGGCCTGCCCCTGATGGTGGTTTGGCCAGGGCGTGGCTCTGAAATGACTGCGTCCCAGTGCAGCTGCCACTGCCCTTGCTCTCAGCAGAGCTGCTCGATCTCACTACCCTTAAAAGCAACGGTACCAGAGGCAGAGAGCGAGGGCCCGGGAGCCCGGAGGACGGTGCGGGCAGGATAACGCCCCCTCCTCCGTGTTCTGACAACCTTAGCCCGCAAAGCCGGCCTGCACGCTCGAGCGCACGTGTCGGGATGGAGACGCCAAGCCCCAGGCAGCCCAGCTTTTCGATGCGTTTTCCTCTTTCCTCCTAAAGCGGGGATGTGTTCACACTTAAAGCTCAGGGTCTTCCAGCACTGCCATGCCACTGCGTGCCGGAAAGCGTGACTGTGGGGTTCCTGGAGGGCGGAGCAGGGGTGCAGGCGCCTTGCTGGATGCTTCCTGTGGCTGCATCGCTCTTCAGACCTGAGTTCAGTATGATGTCATCCTTAGTGTGTGTGTTTCCTCGCAGTTTGAACAAGAAAACCAGCGCCTGGTTGGTGAGATGAACAGCCTGTTTGACGAAGTGAGGTACGTGTGTAGTTCCTTTGTCAGCCGATGGCCTGGTTTACACCTTCTCCAGAAGCGGGGGGCTTTCTCCATTCACTGTGGTGCCCGGGCAGCCACATGTGGCTGTTGAGCCAAATGCAGCCCCACTGAGCCTGCTGGGGGCAGGAAAGCTGCCCGGATCACTGGCCTCTCCATGTGGGGCCAGTGGAGGGAAACTCTGCTCGCTGCTCCGAGACTCCCAGGTGCCACACCACCCAGGGGACCGGTGAGTGACTGCAGGCTGCGCCCCATATAATTAGCACCACCTGCACTGAGGGGCCGTTCACACTTAATTCCTCTCAGGTGAGATGGGGGGTGGGGGGGCCTCGTGAAAGACGCTGGACAAAGGAAAGCCGCCTCCTGCAAACGGCTCCACTGAGGTCTCTGCTCCCTCACCAAACGGGGTCGGCAACACAGAAGTGGCCGTGCGAGCTGGCCCATGGGGGCAAACCCTCGGGGGAGCACGAGAGGAAGGCCCGGGAGCCCCGTTGCTTTGTGGGCATGTCCCCAGTGAAATGAGTCCTGACACTGCCCCGGAGACCGAGTGCGGCTGTCTCCCTCTGACAGCAGCGCCCCTGACACAGCTGGGAAGACGTCTGCTTCCTCCTGGGCTGGGAGCTCAGCTCTGCCCACAGGCTCCGGCCGCTTGTGCTGCACGCATGCCGGAACAGCAGCTATCGTCAGCCTCCCTTTTAGACACCCACCACCCCCAGCCGCCCTCAGGCTCACCCTGCTGCCCCCGACAAGGGGAGAGCGCCTGCGCTCAGCTGCTGAACGCAGAAGTATTTTCAAACACAACCAGAGGACTTTTTCCCCTCGCTCTCACAGACGACATGGTGTCCCCTCCGTCTCAGACATGATGTCCCCTCTCACACCTAACATGGTGTCCCCTCCGTCTCATGCCTTAGAGACAATTTCTTGAGATGTGTAACGTTCCTGTTAAGATTATCAAGCACTAATAAATATGTAATGTGTTTTTTTATGAAGGCAAATTGAAGGGAAAGTGGTTGAAATTTCCAGACTTCAAGAGATATTCACAGAGAAGGTTTTACAACAGGTAAGGAAAAAAAAAATAGTTGTTTTAAGTTTTAGCTTAAAAGAGGACTATACTAAGAAATCAGGACATTTCTTCTGAAGTCGTTGGATGTCTGCAGCTGTGTGCCCAGGGCTGGGCGCTGTTGGCCAGCGTGTGTCCGGAGAGCCGGGGGAACCGTCTCACCCCGGGGCGGCCTCTGCGTGTGGGGGGCAGCTCTGCACGTGGACCCGCGGCTGGCACAGGGGGGAGGGGCGCGTAGGTCTTGGCTTCTGCTGCCCTCGGTATGCTGGGTGTCCGCCGAGCCACGGGTCCCCATCTATAAAGTGGAGTGGCCCTTGCGGGGCTGTAAGGGTTATTGCTGGCGATAACCCTTGGAAAGTACCCGGCAGGTGCCTGATGGATCATAGCACTTTCCCCAGGGGTCACATGGGCTCAGACTCCACCCTCTCACGGTGCCCGCGCCACGCCACCTCCTATAGCGTCCTCACAGGAATACGGTTGTTCTCCTAAGTGGCTTTTCAGTTCTGACATTCTCCCAGCCAGTAACTGGCAAAATCTTTACAGGCCTGATAAATTTCCCTTTTGTTTTTAGCCTCCACAGACTGTGAAAGGGTTTGAAAGACAAAATCACTGTTCTCCACTGTGCTAAGCTGGGCTGGTTGGCTTTACTCCACTCACAGGACTTCCTGTGATCCACACAGCCAGAGGGGAATCTCTGTAGATCAGGTCTGCAAAGGCCAGCGGCTGTTTAGAGTTCAGGTTCAAAAGAGTGCCCTTAACAGCCATCGAAGGAACTATTCTCACAGGTGTCATGCATAGCCTTCCCTCAGAAGCCTGGTGGCCCTGGGTTCAGCCTGACGCCCAGGACAGTTAAGGTAGATGTCTCCCTCAGAACACACAACTTGTTCTAGAAGCAGCCATGCCTGGTGGAAAACTCAAGAGCCCAGCAGAGCCCAGCAGACCAGCTCCCATCACGTCGGACGACCTGGGCTCGCCGTCACACATCATGTGACTTGGGGTTCCCCTATGCAAAAGGGGGCCGACGGCCCACCTCACTCAGAGCTAGTGACAAGGAAGTGCCTGACAGGCGCCTGGCACGCCGCGGGCTCTCAGTACGTGGGAGCTGTTACTTCTGGATGTGGCTGTGACAGACCTGGATTGGGGACTGTTTTCCTGGCGCAGCCGGGAGCCGCTGGCAAAGGGAACCACCACAGCGTGTCGTGGGTGCTGTGAAACGCTCTGAGGCCCTGGTTGCCAGAGCAGTGACAGCCGTTTTCCTTTTCCAACCATGGCTGTGCTCCTACACTCGGCCCACCTCCCGCAGAGCCCCGAGGGCCATTAGCAGTTGATTCTCTAAACCCCACGGAGTCCACACGGCCCCCACCACCCCCACATCTAAAGGGAGGAGGGGAGACGCCGCTACTGCTGAGACCGGCCTGGCATTGTCACTACCTGTGCGATGGTGGGCACTTACTAGCCAGATGTTCCATGTGTAAGACCGGGATCCCGTCTCTCTTAAGCTTCCCAAGTGTTTGGACTATTTTCTGCAAACAACCTGCATCCCATTTTGATTTTTAAATCTTAGCCTTTTTTTAGAGAGATAGTGGTGAAACAGCACTTTTTTTGAAGCCAGCGTATGTGTTTGAAAGCACATGCATTTGAAGCTCACATCTCTGGACTTCATAATAGATAAGACTAGAGGGGAAGCCCCGGGCGTGTGCTGGCTGCTCTGTCATCGGCAGCTCACGTGTTTGTCCGTCACTGTCCTGCGAGTGGCACAGGAAAGGTGGCAGGTCGGGGCCCAGGCACTGAGGGTCACTCCCAGCCCTGGCATTTGGTCACTGTGTGACTTTGGGCAAGTTATTAACGTTCTCTGGGCCTTAAGTTTCCCTTTTGTAAAATGGGGAGTTGCCTCCCTGTCGGGGTGCTGTAAGATTCGTGGGTCATGCGTGTAAAGCCCCAGCCCTCAGTAATCCGCAGCTGCTGTGTATCTTGATGTGCGCCGGGGCGGGCAGGGGCGGGCTGTGCTGGTGGTTATCTGCCCCTTTGTCTTCCGCAGGAAGCCGAGATTGACAGCATTCACCAGTTAGTCGTGGGGGCAACCGAGAATATCAAGGAGGGCAATGAAGACATCAGAGAGGTGGGTGCTCCCTGGGCCCCGAGGCCCAGAAGAGCCTTGCTGGGCGGGGCTGAGCCCACGGGGCTGACCTCGCCACCCTGCTGGACGGTCACAGTCCATCCCTGCCAAGCCCAGGGCCCTGCTGCTCACCCCCTCCAAAGGAGTGATCTGGGGTGTGGGGGTGCTCTTGGCAAGGGTCTGACCAGCTCCCTAAATCCAGGGCTGGGTGCCCCTGGAGAAGCCCTGGGCACTGTGTCTGGGGCTCCGGCTGACTCCATTGAGTGGACCTTGTCATCTGCGTGTGGTCCTCTGGTTTGGGAGGACATGGGCTGCTGCTGGGGCCGGCCAGCAGCCAGGGTGGATGTGGTTAACCCTGGCATAGATGGGAGCCATCTAGGTGCTGGGTTTCCGGGGAGAACTGGGCAGGACCGCCCAGGACCGGCTAACCAGGCAGGGCAATGCCACCTGTGTGTCTCCTCGGGGATTTTAACCCGCCTTTTTGGTGTTGCTTAATAATTAAGCTGTCTGTTCGGGGTTAGCATAGGCTGGGGCGGTACAGGTGCAGCCAGGGTGAGGTGAACCATTGGTGGGGCCTTGGAGGGCTCCCACCGGACCCCTGGGGTGAAAACGCCCGTCTCCTGTCCCCCCAGGCCATCAAAAACAACGCGGGCTTCCGTGTGTGGGTACTGTTCTTCCTGGTCATGTGCTCCTTCTCCCTGCTCTTCCTCGACTGGTACGACAGCTAGCTGCCTGGTCGTCAGCCGTCACCCCAGAGCCACGTGGGGGGAGGGGGAGACAGATACGTCACAGAAGGGACGCCCAGACCTGTGGTTGGAGCCCACGGAGGAGCAGAAAAGGAAACCAGTGAACACAAATCGGAAGTGTCTGCAGCAGCCCTGAGGCGGCTCCCCCAGCTGCCTCTGGGCTCCCAGGATGCCTGACCTTCCCTCCGGGGCTTCAGGAAGAACATGGGGTGAGAACCCGCAGCCCAAATGCTCGTTTGTCCCCTACGGCTTCTTGCCTGCCTGAGCCACCTGACACGGCTCACTGTACGGTGGGAAACTCACCTTTGCCTCGTTAACCTAATAAATACATGACGGCCACTTCGCGTATTGTCGGTGGGTCCAAGTTTAGAAATCCAGCAGCCGCCTGTCCGCCCCCTGTCCGGGAAGAAGCGTGGGACGGACGTGCCTGCTCCTCCCAGGACGCTGCCCCGACACGGCATCCTGACAGGTGGGCAGCGGGCTGGGAGGCCCGACTTCCTGCCTCTGGGCCCCGAGGAGCCCCGGGCCTGCGGCTCTGTGCCTGTGCACCTGACTTACTGGGAAACAAAACGGGAACGCCTGCTGGTACCTGCAAGCACGAGGCACGGGGCCCACGTCTGTGCAGGAAATGTCCCGGCGTCCGAAGGGCCACCACAGCGCAGTGCGGACGGCTCTGCACGGCTCCTGTGACACGTGTGCTGTAGTGTTGGACAGCCAGGGACCCTTGTGTTCCTTATTTGCAGAGTGACACTGTGAATGAATTGACAAGGCAATAAACTACGCGTCCACTGGCAGACACAAATGCGGCTTGCCTCGGCGCCGTGAATGTGCTGATGGCTCTGTCTGCGCAGGGAGCCTTTTGGCGCAGTTAGGACTCCATGATTCCCTGAGCTTCGCAGCACGGGACTCCACACCGCACACCCCCTGCCCTGCGGCCATGATCACTTTCCAAACACCCTTGATAAAAACAGTTTGTTTTGGAAGCACATTTTAGGAAACGGTGACGGACTGGCCGTGAGCACCATGCTTGTTCGCAATAGATCTTGCACTATTTGTCATTTATTTTTGATCTACTAAAAAACAGTAAAACTTTTGACACGTCCACCAGAAACAACACATTCAAATAACATGGAAGAAAATGTCTGAATATCTTTGTTCTATTTAATCATCTTACACACTTAGTTTATCTAACTGGCAATTTTGTAAACATACTTTAATGTCAAGATTCAGGTTGAAACAATTGTCTTACAAAGATTGCGAGTTGAAATGTCATAATTGGACTTGTGGGGTGACACACCAGCCCCTCCCTCCCAACCCCCCAGCCTTTCCTGCCTGCTTCTTATATCAAAGGAGTTACATCTCATTCACAAAATTAAAACTAAAGTAGCCGTGGCTCACCAGCAATTACATTTTCACTTTTCCCACCCAGCCAATTTTTTAAAAACTGTCCTGCTAATAGGGCTGTTGGTGCAAATTTATTCCTAACAGAAGTGACCAAAAGGGCCAGTGGGTTCCTTTCCTATTCAGCACATCACAGAGCAGACAGACTACCTACAGGACACGGACTTCTGCAGCTTAGGGCCCGAGGCCAGCTCTTCCCAGAGTCGCCTCACCTCAGTGCTTTCACACAGTCGATGTGCACTCGCCTGGCAATGACCTGATGGCATCTGTCCTCTACACCACCCACTGCAGCGCATCCCGGGCTCGGCACTGTTGCCATCTGATGGGGGGGGGGAGTGGAATGCAGCTCGCTCTGAGCAAAGCAGGGAACATTCTAGATACGGCTAGGGCGTAAGGTCTGCACACAGCAACCACAAATGCATTATCATCTCAAGTCCAAACCCCTTGCATATCCAGTGTGAACTTATTTTCAACAGCATCCAACAAATCCCAGTAACGCAGCTAAATTAAGATTCCTTACCATGAAAAGTGGTGTCAGCTCTTTAAGCAATGCTGACCCACACCTGACTTTATGCCCACGGGTGGTCTGCAGCGAGTTTTATTTGCAAAGCAGCGTTAGCAAACAGAAGCAGTTGCACCATAAATGAGTAACCTCTAAATTATCGGTAATTATATTTAATGAAATGTCCCTCAAAGTCCCTCTGTTACCTTCAGGTGACACACTGAGGAACTTGCCCATCTCGCTAAGCTGATTTCTCAGCAGCTTCAGTCTCCTGCTCTGACAGCTTCTCTTCCGACAGAACTGACATCCACGGCGACACCGAGCGTGTGATGCTCTGCTTGGCCAGGTTGTAGTGGTTCACGATGGCGTAGAACTTATCCGGGGAGTGCGTGTCCTGCTCCGCATAGTAGGCCGCCAGGCCGTCGGGGATGCACTGGGCGTTCTGCAAAACGAAAGGCCACTGAGTGCACGTGTGCTGCAGGGCAGCCGAGTCTGCAGTGACCGCCCCGCAGGTGTCCCCTGAGCGCCGGCCCTGCCCTCAGCCCCCAGCCAAGTGACCGCCTGGCCCTGATAATCCCAGCAGAGCAGCCATTTTTAATAAGGCATGACAGTGCTGCTTGGGCTCCCAGGGCATGGTTGTAACAGGATGACAGGCCTTCCTACATCACTAAAGACCTTATGCTAGTTGTCATTTATTTTACATCTGGAAAACAATGAAACCTTTTACATGTTTACCAGAAAGAACACATTCACGAACGGACGGACGGAAGGAGGGAGAGAGGGAAGTCAGAAAGGCTTCCTGTGCACCGGGTCCTTAGCAGGCCTGGGCTGGGGGGGGAGCCTCGAAACGAAGGGGACAGGCCTGGGGCAGGGGCCTGAGGGAGGGCCAGTGGCTCGAAGAGTGAGGCGGAGCATGACGGAAACAGGGGCAGCGGCCACACAACCTGCAGAGGCCTGCGGGTGCGTTGTGAGTGTGACCTTGTGACCCAGAAGAGCAGGTCACTGAGGATCTCGAGAAGGCGCACTGAGCGTGGGGGACTGTCCCAAGCAGCTGTCCCTATAGGCCATGGAGCCCATGGGGAACACCTGAGGTTATGTGTGAAATTCTGTTGCACGGGCGTTTTGCCCAGAGACCTGTCCACAGCTCTCATGAGCTTGTCAGGGGTCTGACATCCTTGTCAGTTCAGATGTGACAGTGTCCAGCCTGGTCCAGCACCTGGCCCACAGGCTACGATTTCCTCGCTGCCGGGTCTGGGGAGATGTGGGACGTGGTTTGGCGGGAAGGAGGCTTAGGGCCCTGGGATTTTGCAGCGCTTTATAAGCAAGTGGATCCTGGCCGCACCCCCATGCCTCTGTCCCCCCAGCCAGGGCCTGTGGTGCTGCTCTGGCTGTTTTCCTGTTTGGGTTGCTATAGCTACCCAGACATGAGTGACTCACTGCCGCCGTTTTAGTGAGGCTGGCATGGGAAAGTAATAAACTCGCGCTTTCCCTCAACCCTGTGGAGAATTGGTTCTCCTCCTAGCAGCTCACTGAACCCTGAAATATAAGGATGGAAATACCTGCCAGCCCCCCGTGAGCACACAGAGCTATTTCCAGAAGGAAATACAGGCATGCAGTGTGCTCCTCGCCCAGCATTTCAGCGGGTGGAAGCCGGTAGGAAAAGCTCAGCTTTGCAAACACCGGCGAGTTCGCTGGAGCTCATGGTCTCTGAGCCTCAGTTCCTTCATCTTTAAAATGGGGCTAATGAGTCACACCTCCCAGGTTGCTGTGAGGGCTACAGTCAAGGTACAGTAAATCAGATGAGAAGCCAGGACATGCCCAAGGTTGCACAGTGACCCCAGCCAGGCCAGGGCGTCGGGAAGCCCGGGCACGCCGCAGAGGCACACAGTCGCCCGAGTCGGCATGGCCTTGCTGGCCAGCCCAGGGAAGGCTCTGATGGCCCTGCCTGCACGGCCACCCGCCCTTCACTCTGTCCTCGCCACCTGCCACTCGCCAGCCCACAGTCCTGCTGGACGACCTGAGAGCTGACACCTGCTGGCCAGCGAGTGACTCCGCTCCGGGCTGGGACGGGCCTCCAGGCACCCAGGCCGGGGGGCAGCACAGGTGTTAGGATGCAGCCCACACAACAAAGCTGCAAGAAGATGCTGGGAGGGGCTCCCCTGGAAGCTGTGAGCATCAGAGCGAGGGCGTCTACGGAGAACTGCACGTCACCTCTGTGGGCTTGGGGAGGTCACCGACCTTCCCTGCGCCTCATCCCTCAGCTGGAAACAAGTGATAATCAGACCTGTGAGGTCATCCGAGAAAGCATGCTCCCCTCAGCCCCGGCACATGGGCGCCGGGCTATTAAGTCTTCCTGGGATGGGAGTCTCACCAACAGGAAGAATGTGTGTTCACAGACAAGTCTACAAGGAATACCCAGATGTAAAACTTGTGGGGTCTGGGTCACTTTTCTTGCAGCGCAGGATGCAGATGGGGGCTTGTTAAGTGTGTGTGTGGGGGGGGGCCTCTTTGCCTGGATGCGTTTCCCCAGGTCCCTGCAGGCTCCCGCACAGGCCTCCCATGGCCTTGCTCCTGGACCTTGACCTCCCTTCTAGCAGCTGCAGCCCCATCCTGCTTGCTGTCCCGTTTCCCAGCGCTTCTAACCCTGTAACTCAGTCTACAGTCGACCTCAGGCTGCTTTTGAGAAGGTCAGGGCGCTTCACAAAGGCAGGCTCTTGGCCCGCTTGGCTCCTGCCGATTCCAGCACCTCGGACAGCAGCAGCAGCAGCAGCAGCACGCGGCCGGCACCGGCGCTCACAGTAAGCGCCGCCTGTGGGAGCTCTAAGTACAACCCAAGGAGGAGGGTTAGGAGCGCGATTCCAGCCGCACCTGATTCCAGCCCCACCTGCTAACTTGGCAAGGGCCCCGCACCCCTCACATCAGCGACACCCAGACCAAGCCTGTCCTTGCACGTGCTCAGTGCCAGACAGTGGGGCTTTCCTGCTGTCACATCAGCAACACCAAGCCCTGTAAAGGATGGTGTTTCCTCTTCACACTGGCTCTGGAAAGCTCAGAACCAGGTGAGGCGCCCCGAGCCGGGTGGGTGGGAACGGGGGCGAGTCCACGCGCGCTTTCCTTCCTCCCAGCTTCACCTTCTCGCCAGCATCGCTCCACGCCCCTTCGTTTTCTTCATTCCCTCCCGGCGTCCGGTGTGCTGTGTGTGTGCCACAGGCGGCCTTGTGGAACGAGGCCCCCATCCGTGAGCACCCACGAGCGGCGACCTCAGCACAGCAGGCGGACGGGGACACGCCGTCAGCAGGACGGTGAGTGTGCCAGCCCTGCTCCCGGTCCCCGTGGGGCCTTGGGCAGCCTCCCCGGCGGCCTGCCCTCCTTCCATGTGACCGATAGTAAGTACTCTTGCTGTCCGTCCCCCAGGGGTGCGGGGGGCCCTGCCACGCCCCTGCCCGTCTGCCTGCCTCCCCTGCTCCCAGCTGGGCCGTCCACAGGAACTCTTCCCAAGGACCCCCCTCGCCGGCCTGGGCTACAGCTGCTCGAGTGCCTGTCCCGCGGGTGCTGCGAGGTCAAGCGAGACACAAGCTGCAAAGGCATCGCGGGGCCGGGGGAGGGGCTTTACCTTGAGGATGAACCCGTCAGGGCAGAGGCGTTCATACTTGTACACCTTGTAGACGACCAGGAAGATGACACAGGTGAGGAAGGCCAGGGCGAAGAAGACCAGCACGGAGACCTGCGGGCAGAGGCGGGGCGTCAGGGTGGGAGTGGAGGGCAGCCAGACGCACGCGCGCACTCACGCGCGCGCACGTCGGGAGGTCTCGGGGGATGAGGGGTCAGCAGAATCACTGTCCACTGGACGACTTTTGTACCATTTTCACTCTCAGCATAGCCTCACGTCACCTTTTATTTTATAAATTAGGTATTTTTAGTACGCCAGGCCCTGCATGGAGAGCTCAGGATACAGATAAAATCAAGCCTCATGGGCACTTGGACACGTGATTGACGGTTTGCCCGTCGGACTGCCGCCAGTCACCAAGGTGACGCAGCAGCCACCAGCTAATCAGCTGTTCCACAAACATCTCCTGAGATGGGACATCGACCCTGCCCTTGACCTGCGACCAGCTGAGCAGGAAAGGCAGACCTCCCTGGCCTCCATCACCCCCGCCCTCGACAGGGTCCGACCGGCTAGTTAGTGTCCGTCCCCTCCCCAGAGGGCAGTCTCTGTGAGCATAGGGGTTCGGCTTTCTTCACCGCTGCAGCTGAGCGCCCAGCGCAGTATATGCTGACCGCACATAATATGTGCTCAGCTAATGTTTGCAGATGAATGCAAGACTGCATGTGAGAAGGACAGGAGGTGGGAGGTTCCACTCCAGCTGGAGGACTTGGGGTCTGGGGGACAAAATGACACTTGATCTGGGCCTCAAAGTGCTCACTGGACTGCTGAGAGCCACCTGGCAGGGGTGAGTGCATGTATAGAGGCGAAAGGGCCCACAAAGGCATGGCAGGTCCGGAGGCGGGAGCCTTCCCACTGACAGACGGCCTCCCCGCGCCGGGTGAGCACAGGGACAGCTTTCAGGCTCCTGCACGGGGAGGAGACAGGCAGCAGGGCCCCGGGAGCCGGCTCGGGGCAGGACTGACGAAACGGTCGCCCCTCACTTCCACCTCCCCTCCCAGGGGCCCGGGGAGCTTCTGCCACACAGTCCCCAGCCACCAGGTGCGGGGAGCCCTGCTGCTTCCCTGAGGCTGCACAGAGGCTAGGGGCTTTGGGGAGACCCTCAGGCAAAGTACAGCAAGCCTCGCCCCAACCTCAGGTCCCCTGATATTGCGGGGCCTCTGCTCCGATGCGGCTTCTCGGAGCCCCCGGCCCCCATCTGTGAAAAGAAGACACAGCATCTCCAGCCAGGATCCTGGGTGACATGAGACGGACGTGAGGAAGTGTGTTGTAAACCGCACAGCACATTCACCGAAGGCAGGACGCCGGCCCTGCCCGCCAGGAACCCTGTGCACCCCCCACACCCAGCTTAGGCATGGGCACTGGGGTCCAAGTTCTGTGACCCTGGAAGCCCCTGAACCTCTAGCCACAGTCCCCTCGCCTGTGACACAGGGTGACAGCTCCCCAGTGAGGCTGTGAAGGAGGAACATGCTGGGAAAATAAACGTGGGGACTATCACAGCTGGTGTCCGTCTCCTACCTGCGCCCTGCGCCCTGCCTCCACTCCCCTGGGTCTGAATCTCCAGTGTTCACAACTGTCCCCAGCTGCGTCCTGGCTACGGGAACCAGGCCCGGGCCAGCCCAGGGTGCCCTCTGTCCCTGCCCACCATGCTCCAGGCCAGCTCAACACCCAGACTCTCTCGGCCCAACCAGCTGCTCTCGCCCTCCGTACAAAGCCACCGTGACCACCTGCCACACGCACCCCAGCTTCAGAGCCCCCGTCCCACCCCCGTTACTCCCCCAGCTCGCTCACTGCAGCCTGGACCACACCGGCCCCTGTGTGTCCCCTCGCCCAGGGGGCAGCCCCTCAGACCCCCAGGCAGGCGAGACATCTCTGAGTCACCTCTGATGAGGCTCACCCAGGGCGGCTGTCGGGAGAGCTGTATTTAATGTAAGTGGCCTCCTTCAAAGCCCTTTACATTTTATTTTGGGCATTTCAAAACATTATTCTAAGAAGAGGCCCATAGCACACAACAGGGTAAGAAGCCATGAGAATATGACCGCAACAACATATTAGCAAACAATTCAACAGCACAGTAAAAGGCTCACACACTGTGATCAATGGGGTTCATTCCAGGGATACAAGGATAGTTCAACTGCCACAAATCAAAGTGATACGCCGCACTAACAAAAGGAAGGATAAAAATGAAACAATCATCTCAATAGATGCAGAAAAGCATTTGACAAAATGCAACAAACACTTATGGTTAAAAAAAATAAAAACTCTCAAGAAAGTGGGTACCGAGGGAACATACCTCAACATAAGAAAGGCCATCTATGGCAAGCCCAAGCTAACATCATACTTAAAGGAGAAAAGCTGGACGCTTTTCCTCTAAGATCAGGAGCAAGACAAGGATGCCCGCTCTCACCACCTCTAGTCACGACAGTATTGAAGGCACAGAGCAATTAGGCAAGAAAAAGAAAGAAAAGGCATCCAAATTGGAAAGGAAGAAGTAAAACTGATACTATTTGCAGCTGACATATGTAGAAAACCCTAAATATTTCACCAAAAAAGTGTGGCGCATTGGTTAAGAGCTGGCGTGGGATGCCAGCTCTGAGCAGCAGGGCCCCGGTTTGGATCCTACATTAGGGCCAGTGACGCTGCGCCCTCTACAGCTAAGATGGTGAACAACAGCTCGACCTGCAGCTGGGCTGCTGTGAGTCGCCGGTGACGCCGTAGGCTACAGCCCCTGCTGCAGTGGGCTGCCATGAGCTACCGTGAGCAGCCGGCAGCCAGCGTGAACAGCTGGCAGCTGGTGTGAGCTGCCAAGAGCCGCTGTGAGTGGCCGTCCAGAGGCCGGCGACCGATCTGCCTCAGCCGGGAAGAGCGCAATGATAATACCAACATGGGCCAGTGAAGCGACGTCCTCCACAGCTAGACTGAAGAACAAAACGACAGCAACCTGTCTGTTCCCCTTCCCCAATTCCCCAATAAAATCTTTCAAAATAAAAAATCTTTCAAAAAAAATAAAAAAGTGTTAGAACTTACCAACAAATTCAGTAAAGTCGCAGGATACAAAATCAATATACAAAAAATCGTAGCATTTCTGTACACTAACAATGAACTATCAGAAGGAGAAATGAAGAAAACAATCCCCTTTACGGTTGCATCCAAGAGAGTAAAGTACCCAGGAATAAATTTAACTGAGGAGGTGATGCAGCCACTAGGGACAACAATAGGGGGGTTCCTCAAAACATTAAAAATAGAGCTAACATATGACCCAGCAAGTCTAATCCTGGGTATTTACTCAAAGGAAAGGAAAACCCTAACTCAGAGAGATCCAGGCACACACCATGTTCATTGACTCATTGTTTACAGCAGTCAAGACACGGAAGCAACCTAAGTGTCCATCTATGGATGTTAACTAGACGTATCATGCTGATAATTTCACAACATATACAAATATTGACTCATTATGTTACACACCTAAAACGAATATAATGCTGTCTGTCAATTATATCTCAATTTTTTAAAAAGTATGATCTCAAGTCCTGGAGAGATGGGGCATCCTTAAACCTGACCCCTGAATTTGGAAGCCTCAGCAGAGTTCGGTTTAGAGCACCCCATCTGTTTAGGTTTAAAAAAAATCCCCAGCTCTGTCCGCAGGGCTGCGGGGACCCACTTCCTCGGGGCTCTCCTCCTGAACCTGGCCTGGGCCTGTCGTCCAGGATCCCCAGGCCTGATGACAGAAGAACTCACAGAATCAAGGAACGAGAAAGTGACAGTCCCCCAGAATAGTCCAGGGAGAAGGGCAAAGAAATCAATCCATGGAGAGTCAGGAGGCAGCTGACACGGCAACGCCCTCCCTTGCCCCCAGGCCTCTGCAAACCCTGGGCTCCTCTGGGGCCAGAGTCGGCTTGGACCTGAGAAACGCCCTGAGGTGGGAAGAGAAATGGGGGCTTGCAATTCACTGCATGGCATGGTGTGTCCCCCCTGATTCCCATGACCTGAGGAGAGAGCCATAGGCCTTTCCAGAAAGATCCCCAACTGACTCAGAACTGGATCCCAGCTCTGCCACCTGCCAACTGTGTGACTGAGCAGGTTGCCTGTGTATCTCATCTCTGAAGAGGGAAACCATGCCTCACGCACACTTATCAGGAGAACGACAAGGGATCGAGGGCTTGAGAGCATGTTGTGAGCCCCACATGCTGAGCCTGTTATGGGTTGAATTGTGCACCCCACCCCCCATGAAAAGACAGAAGTCCTAACCCCTGGTCCCTGTGACTGTGACCTCATTTGGAAATAGGGTCTTTGCAGATGTGATTAAATAAAGCAAGGTCATTAGGGTGAGCCCGAATCCAGTATGACTGTGTCCTTATAAAAAAGGGAAATTTGGACACACAGACACATACAGGGAGAGTGCCATGTAAAGACAGAGGACTGCAGTGATGCATCTACAAGCCAAGGAACGCCAAAGCTTGCCGGCAACCCCCCAGAAACCAGGAAGCGGCAAGAAAGGATTCTCCCGTACAGGTTTCGGAGGGAGCCCGGCCCTGCTGACGCCCTGATCTTGGACCTCTGGCCTCCTGAGCTGGGAGAGAATAGATTTCTGCTGGTGAAGCCCCCAAAGTGGGTGTACTTGGTCATGGCAGCCCGAGCAAACTAACACAGCCCCTAATACCAGAGCTCTTTCAGGGGGTCTCAGGACCGACGCACCTCCCCTGAAGGCGTTCCCTCTCTGCCGTCACCCTTGCTTCCCACCACACGCCAGGCTGAGCGGCCCGCTCGCTGGGCAAAGCCCCCGCCAGGCCCCTGGCTCCCGGAGCCTCCGGAACATGGCAACCTCCCTGGACACCAACAGCGCATAATATGTGCACCACACAACCCAGCGTCCGCGATTTCCTAACTCAAGTGAAATGAAAGTGCGTCCCAGTGTGGAGAGTTTCATGAACCTCGCCTGCCCCCTTCCCCCAAGAATAAACTAGGAATATTCCAGAAAAAGTGTGGAATTACTTAGCCACACGTTTCCTCCAGGCCAGCGAGTACCCTTTAAGGCTGTCTCTACATCAACACACCATGAC